AAGATATTAACATATCTGATATTAACTTAAATGAACTTAAACTTTTAAGATATTAACTTAAACTTTTAAGATATTAACTTGAACTTTTAAGATATTAACTTAACCTTTTGAGATATTAACTTAAACTTTTAAAGATATTAACTTAAACTTTAAAGATATTAACATATCTGATATTAACTTAAATGAACTTAAACTTTTAAGATATTAACTTAAACTTGATATTAACATAAACTTTAAAGATATTTACATAAACTTTAAAGATATTAACATAAACTCTGATATTAACTTAAATGAACTTAAACTTTTAAGATATTAACTTAAACTTTTAAGATATTAACTTGAACTTTTAAGATATTAACTTGAACTTTTAAGATATTAACTTAACCTTTTGAGATATTAACTTAAACTTTTAAACCACTAACTTGAATTTTTTTCTAGACACTAACTTGATATTAAATTTTCAAGATACTAACTTGAATTTTCAAGATACCAACTTGAATTTTCAAGATACTAACTTGAATTTTCAAGATACTAACTTGAATTTTCAAGATACTAACTTGAATTTTCAAGATACTTACTTACATTTCCAAGATATTTACTTGAAAAGAAAGACTCCTGTAGTTCTTCGTATAAAACGAGATATTTTTGGACTAAAATTCCCGTTTATGAAACATTTGTTTATGACACATTGATATCAAATCTCTTAACGACAAGTCATCCATCCAAATGTTAAAAAGATTTTCATAACAAGACTGTTTAATAGTAAGAGTTTAACTGTTATGTATTTTTATTCGACATACTACTTGTATGAAATGCACTGTTTAAGTTAAGCGTGGGATCGTCTCTAAACAGCAACCATTTCCTGTAGAATGCAAAGAGCATGCAGCGGGATCTAGTATATCTTGAAATGAAATAGAATGGGGTTTAACGTCCTACTTTTCTGCTCCGAACTGGGCTAATGAAGACGGGCATACGCCATACAGTGTGCTATGAGGGAAATTTTGCCCGGACAGCGGCACTACGGCCTACTCTTATATCGAATTCCAACTATCAAGGGAACTTTTACGTGCACGCCAATGTGTATACGGGACCTGGGTTGTTCGTCCTATCCGAACGACTAGACAGTTGTCATTGTCAGGCCCTCCGTCCTGCATCACTGACAAGGGGGGACCACGCCGGAAAATCTGGGTGAACTTTCTCGGGCAATGCAGGGATCGAACACCCGATCTCCAGTCTAGCGAGCCAGCGTCTTACCCACTTAGACACCGTGACCCTCGACAATAAAATGACGCTGGTCTTGTTACGTAGCTAATTCAACGAAAGATATTCCAGATATCTTTTTGAATACTGAACTAAACAGAACAAATTTGAACCGGCATTCCTATCAGAGAAATATCTTCACAATATGTTTATCTACAAGGGGATTCATATTGCTTCAAAGGAAGCACCGAGACCTAAGTTGCAAAATTAAAGATGCACTCGGAAACTTCGGTCGTGAGCTTCATATTGTTTGTTAAATTATTTAGAATATAAAGAAGACAGGAACGGTTTAGTTTAAATACGACTTTATTTTTACGAATATCCGTGCAATCATTGATATTTTTATTGTGAATAGAATTTGGTTGACATAAATCTTCTATGTAATTGCCTTTAGTTAATATATATTTTTCGTCGCCCAAGCTCAAACGATCGAAACGACCGCGGTATGTTTTCATTGCAACACGTGGTTGTCAAACTCTCTGTCAAAATTAAACACACCCGCAACAGCTTGATTGGTTTCGTCCAAACCATGTCAAATTCTCTGTCAAAATTAAACACACCCACAACAGCTTGATTGGTTTGGTCCAAGCCATGTTGTCTTCCAATTTGTAGAAAATATAAGTAAACACCTCAAATTTATCATGAGAGAACTTTTTTATTCATTGGAATATTTAATTGTGCAATGGATTTTATTTAACGGGGGTTGATTTGAAACACACAGGTAAGTTTATAATAACCAAAGTTAAATAGTTTGTTCATAATCGAAGAAATCCGTTTATAAAATCTGAAGTTTCAGACAGTAATATATTTATACAATATGGCGGTATAACTTATAATAAAATCAGTGGAGAAACCCCTCAATAGATTTTACAAATGTATAATCACAGACTACAATCTATAACACAAACAGCTGATATTATATTCACTCATAAACAATGACATGGACAAAAACTGTGGATTGAAATATTGAAAGCCATATAAATTCAATGTCTAACAAGTAATTCGGATGGATCGACCGTCCTTTCTTTTTTATTTGGTTCAGTACTGTAATGTATCGTACGATATGAAACGATGAATCTTATATATTCTTATAACATCCTTCACGGGTATGCCGAAAGTGAAAGTAGACAAAAGATTCATGTTTTGTCTAGTATGAAAGTTAGTTGTTTGCTTTTGGCCTCTTCCCAGGTTTATCTTTGGCTGGCTGGTTCTTGTCATAAAGCTGCAACAGGTGTTACACCAACACTGTAGTCCCTCTGTACTGAACTACAACAGACAGTAACAAATAAGTATACTCACTCTGCACTGAACTACAACAAAACAAACCAACAAAACTTAAAACTTATCTTTATTTTATCATTCTCTTAAAGATACATTCCCACGAAAATATTTATAGGGCAGTAAATGTAGAAAGTTTAGATACCTAATCTTATTAGACAAGTTCTGGCTTCCCTGAATAACATCCATGGGGCGTGAAAAAACAAAAATGTGAAGGTGTTCATCAAAGTCATTCTGTGGCAACCTAATGTGAGATCACTGAGAGAATTAAACGTCCAGTAGATCTAGCAGATTCCAGTAGCATGGATTAAAATGTTTAAGAGGGAATTGAAGAAAACATTTTAGTTCAAATATTTCATTAAATCACTCGATTTGTACGCGGAAATGCAAATTTAAAGAGGGGCTCACAACTAAATGTAAAACGTCAAATGTAATGTGTGAAATGACAAAGACAGATAAAACATTAGCTGTAATTAAACATGTAAATCTATAAACACAATAAGGAATCATAGTTGATTAGTCTAACTGGTAATTGTAATAAACAGGTCACAATTCTATGGAATACAATTACTGCTTATTACTGGGCAACGTTTCGACTAGGCTTCTCTAGTCATTATCAAACAATTATAAAATATAAAATATAACAATACTTGGTTAATGTTGACCAACCACAGATACCTTTTTAATTACATGTACATAAAGAAGACCTCACTTCAATTTGATTAAAATACAGGGGCCTGTTTCACGAAATTTTAACTAAGATAAAATCCAAATTTTAGTAATTTGATTGGATAATATTAGATTGATTTTAGTGCTCAGCCAATCAAAATTTAAGTATCTACTAAAATTTGGATTTTATCTTTAGTTAAAATTTCGTGAAACAGGGCCCAGATCTATATTTCGTTTCGCTTTCTTTATACTGGCCCACACTACATGAAGATCTGACCGGTTGTAGCGATGGGTCGCGTCAGAGGTCATACGAGCGGCTTTTGACCCTATGATGTCAGACATTTGACTTCCCAATCAGCATTGATGTTACTAATGGATTGCCCACAGTTCCGTGAAAAACAAGTCTAAAGCTCGCCGTAACAGACCGTTTCATTGGCTGATCCCTCACATTATTTAGAACACGTCAATGATAACAACTCTTCAAGATCCTAGTGTAGTAAAGACAAGTAAAACTAAATTTTGAACTATAAAAACGAAACGAAATAGGATATGTGTTTTAACCAGATTGACCTAACTTAGTTAGGGATTATAAAAGTTGAATGCTAGTACAGACCAATTCAATACAGACCAATTTACCTTAAATTAACACAAAGTGATTAATGGATAACACCATACAAAAAAAAGAAATTTCATTGGTATTATAAACGAACAATGTTGATATGTGCATGTTGATGTAAGGGATTCCACTTAAATACGAAATATCCTTAAAACAAAAACTGCGCAAATCATCAATTGTCCCCTGAAGACCGACTATTTAAATTAGTGAGTAGTATTCACACTGGATGCTATAGTGATTTGGAAAAGCAGGATTTGAACTATTAAGTGCATTGAATTTCAATAACAGCAGCAATGAAAAGCAAAATAATAGCCATTTGTTAATTATGATTTTTAATAATAATAATAATAATGATATTTGTATCGCGCAACTATTTAATCCACTAGGGAATGCACTAGGCGCTAGAATATGTTCTCACTTTGGAGTGTTAATGATAGTGACCAAATAGCCAAGTTTTCACTTTGGATTTAAAAACTGACACGAATTCACATTGTCGGATATTTTCTGGAAGTGCATTCCAAACAATTGATGTGCTATATCGAAAAGTTCTGGATCCAAATGATTTCAAATTATAGGCACGTACATCCAATAATAGTTTCCCTGCTGATCTTAATAATCGTTTAGAATTATAATCATTACAAAATTAGATAATTAATCTTGAATAGCGGTGAGAATATTGTTTACTATTAAATATTGATTAAATAGAATTAATTATGCTTAAGCGATTCAGCAAAGTTTTTAGTGCATGATCTGGTTACATCTGTGGTCGATAACCCGATCTCTTTTGATCGGTATTCCTGGTTGACCATTGAATAAACTATACAGAAAGTCCAGAGTTCATTTGTTAAAGTGATTACAAGAACGCGATAGATCCCCAGCGTGATTCATGAGGACACAGAAAATAATAGTGATGCAACGGGATTAATTTATTCTCAAATTATTTCCAAGTGAAAAAAATAAGAACTCAATAGCTCACCAAGTTCAAATACACACGAAACCGGTTAGACCTGACGAGAACACACCACAAGCTCAAACTATGTAAAAACAATCGATGAATGACGTGGATTGTTTTGATAGAAATTTTCAAAACATCGTGTCTACATTCCAGAAACTTGTAAAATTTTCTATATACAGCTGTCTACCTGTGAATGTGTATAAAAGACATGGATATCTCTGAATTATTTATTTACCTTTCTGATTTCTGTACTCTGTGTAGTCGTGAATCTGATAATTTACCAACATGCGATTTTTGCCGACAGTTGTTCTCTTGGTTGCTGTAGTTATGATTGTTGCTGATGCAGGTAGGAACGGTCGTCGTTGGCATAATCGTAATAATCGGCGTTATGGGAGACACAGAGGAACAGCGTTGAGAAACGTCAGCTGTCGAACAGTAATGAATGCGGGTGTTTGTGAGAGATGTTGTGGTAAGACATTTTTGTTTTTATCCATAATACTAAAACCACGAGAGTCCTGAAGTATTATGGTTGTCTTGCCACTTTCTGGAGGTGGTCAGATGATTCCCACTATTCTTAACACCTCAATGGTTTCTGGCGAGTCATGACCGATTCGGTGTTTCCTTTAGGAAATTAATGGCGGTCTGTCTTCATTTCGTCAACAATCCATGAGAGTTATCCACGAGAAAACATTTCAGGAGGGTTGTTTTGTTTTCAAGAGGCTTGTCACTGGAGAGTACAAAGTCAATAGGGATGCTCGACGTGCCGAATTAATAGAGTTGCAATTGAGTGACGTGGACTTTAGTCATGTGACAGCCCTGACGTGGTATAGGTAGAATCATGACGTAATTAAACAAATAAACTTTAATGGTTGGTTGATATATTTTTTTATACAGTCAAAGCATGCGTTGTAGCCGGACATCGCCCGTTTCACTCGATTGTCGCTATTTTTGGAATTGTTGAAATTCAATTCCTGAACGTTCAATCGAGTATCCTATTAGGTGTGTATCATCTTGGAAAGTCATGGTAAAACCAATTTATTTAAAGTTGCAATTTCAAATTTTCAAGTTATTTTTAAAATGTATTAAAATAAAGCCTTAAAATAGATGGTATCCATAAACTGTCCTACCTTGTTAAAGAATAATCCTATTAATCCTATAATTCGCTATTGCCAGCTGAGAAATTGGCAAAAATATCATTTTTAATTTCAAATTCCAACGTTGGAAAATGGCTGGCCCATGTTGTCAATTGCAAAACAGGGGAGGTAATTGTGTTGTTATTTCCTGTGTCATAGATTTTTAAGGGTGGGAAATAATGCCCATGATCGTATAATAGTGAGTTGATAACCTATTGAGCAAAAGACATAGAAATAATTATGTTTTGACTTTCTTAGAAAATTTGAAATTCTCGCTTTAAGTAGCTATCATGATCGAAGTTCATCCAGCTATTCTAAATTTTCTTTTTATATTTTAGATCCGTGTAGAAATGTCGAGTGTTGTGCGCCCCTAACGTGTGATATGGGAGTGTGTAATTGTAACGGCAATGTCTGTGGTGAGGATCAAACCTGCACTGGAACTAGCGATGGCGCTAGTTGTATAGACAGTAAGTACTTAGTGTGAAAGAGGGAGATGAAGTCATATCGGAATTAGCAGTGTGTTCCGGGTGCAAGGATTCTTTTGTGACGGGGGGGGGGGGGGGTGGCCGAATGGCTAGCACACGCGCGCTGTATCATACGGTCTGTCAATGTGTCGACTGGCGGGGTTTCGATTCCCAGGTTGTACGTGATAAGGAGTAGGGTCACCTGTCCAACTTCCTGGGGTTTCGCCGGGTCCTCCGGTTTCTTCCCACTGCTAAAGACCCCTACGCACAAGCGAATTATTGAAATAAAATTGAACCATGTGTTAGTCCCGAAATGACCTAGTTTGTGTCGAGTGGACGTTAAACCCCATTTCTCTCTCTCTCTCTCTCTCTCTCTTTGTTTTGTGACTATCATGGTGGAAGTTCATCAAGTTAAATTAAATTTTGAATTTCCTTTTTATATTTTAGATTGTAAAGACGAAGATTGTGCTGGGTCCCTAACGTGTGACGAGGGGGAGTGCAAATGTAACGGCACCGTCTGTGGAGCTGATCAAACCTGCACTGAAACTATTGATGATGCCTTTTGTAAAGACGGTAAGTACTGTTTGTGAAAACTAGGCCATTTCGGAACTAACATATTTGTTCAATTATATTTCAATGATTCGCTGGCGCGTAGAGATCTTTAGCTATGAGTGGACGCCGGGGAAATCACACGAAGTTGGACAGGCGACTCAACTCCTTGTTACGTACGTACAACTGTGTGATCGAAACCACGGCACTTGACTCTGACAAGGTGAAACCCCGCCGGAAAATCACGAGGCTTGTTTTTGGTTTCAAGAGAATTATCACAGTGTACAAAGTGTATATAAAATATTTCTTATCATGGGGGAAATTTACCCAGATAAGTGAAATTTTAAATTTTCTTGTATATTTTAGATTGTACAAACAACGACGATTGTGATTCCTACGAAATATGTGATGGGGGAGATTGTAAATGTGGTCGCAACGTCTGTACCCCTAGTCAAATGTGCCTACCTGAACGTGATGGTATAGGAGGTTTACTGTGTTATGTAAGTAATCTGTGTGACATGGCGAGAGAGAGGGGGGAGGGGGGCAGCAGGCAGGCAGACTCGACAATAGTGTTTCAGAGAAGGGATCAGTAAGCATATTCTCAAAAGACTTGTCACTGGACAGAACAAAGTCAGTGGGGATGCTCGACGTGCCGAATTGATAGGAGACAATACACATGGCTGTTTATCTTTAACCACTTTTACTTATAATATAAAATCTTTGAAAATGGTGGTATTATTTGAACTCCTTGAGAGTTTCTAAGATTACCGAAATAACCCCACCTTACTCTAGTGCTAAGCTACCCCAATAAGATATGAGGGATACGTTAAACAACCATTTTATTCTCTTTCAGAACTGAACAACATCGGAATTACAAACTTTACGACCAACACCAGCTAGCGTAGCTTCTGCAGCCAAACTGAATTCAAATTTACTTTACAATACTATCATGAAATAATATAAATAAATTTTAATGTTTGTCTCTTGTTTAATTATTTTACAATTCTTATGTCAAATTCAAACGTTTCTTTTCCGTGCACGTCAATGTATACACAGAATTTGAGTTTACTCCCTATCCGACCCAACGACTATGTGCGAAGTTGAGGTCACCGGGACTCGGTTTAATTTATGTATTGACATAATAATATCTAATTGTTAGAGCCAGCTAGCACACTAACCACGGGTTCGTTGCCGGTTTTGTTGTCCGACAAATTACTTGGGATTGCCCCTTTACACACCACAACTTTACTGTATATTAATTATGTTAATCTCAAAATGACCCACTTTGTGCCGAGTGAACTTTACCCTCCCCCCCTCCCTACCACCGTCCCTGCCTGTCCCTGACAAACTCCCATTTGTATTTGTTGGGTAAGTGGATTTTCCCGACTACTTTTAAGGCTTCTTGTACATGCATGTCAGTGGACCTTGTTTTTTCTGTCTTATCCCAAGGAATATTGGCACTGAGAAATGAAGATTGGAAAACAGAATACACTGTTTATTAATAGAAGAGAAATAAATTGTGGTTCAACACCCCATATGGTTTTAATTTTATTTACATAATTCGCTTGCGCGTAGGGGTCTTTAGCAGTGGGAGGAAATCGGAGGACCCGGAGAAAACCCACGAGGTTGGACAGGCGACCCTACTCCTTGCCACGTACAACCGGGCATTCGAAACCACTCCAGTCGACTCAATGACAGACTTTATGATACAGCGCGCGCACGCTAACCATTCAGCCATCCCCCCCCCCCCCCATGTCTAATTCGATTGTATTAAGTGTTATTTAGCAAAGGGGGAAACTGGAGACCCGGAAGAAATCCTGCGAGGCTGGACGATCGAGCTTACGCCTTGTTACGTACTAACTGGGAATCGAAACCACTCCACTTGACACAATGACAGACCTTATGATCTAAAGCGCACGCGTTGAAATATATTATAATAAAGTTGATATGCAGTTTATTAGAGTTTTTTAAATTTCATTTTCGTAGGAATAACTTAAATACTATCATTATTAAGACAGCTGTTTAAAATTTAGACTCAAGATGTTAGTTGGTTTTTTTTATGTTGAGTGAAGTCTGTATCACTACAGGGCCGGGACTGTACAGCACAGTGGACGCTTACGGCTAGCCAATGGGTCCATTAATTTGATGTTTGGGTGTCGATTTCTCTTGTGTGATTCTTTACACGTGACATTGTCCCGCTGCACTTGCTACTGGACACAGACCAACAATAATAGCCCCCCCCCCCCCCCGCACGACCACCCACGCGCATACATCGACCTCATATGGTATCCTACAAATTGATTTCCTAATTTAATTCCCCGATTCACCCAACTATCCCTCTCGTCACACGTACATACACTCCCCTAACCCTTTTGCACGCGCCATCGAGCCAATGATTGACGTAGCGTGATGAGACGTCACGTGTTAATGGTAGTCATCTTTTACAGAGACATTAGAAGACTTTCGTAATCCTCTGTGAAAAAGATCGCTACACATGGATTAGTATGCTAGTATCACGAGATTGTCATGGTTAACCTCATACAGGCTTTTGATCGAGTCGTTGTCATTAGTGGCTCCATCTGTAGTAGAAAATGTACTGTCCAACATAAATTTTGGGGAAAAGGACATGATTTATAATTTGATATGTTATATGTCTCCTCCATTGTCAAAATATTGTGAGAATAACAGGACATGGGGTCTAGGGCCAAGGATATATTCTATGGTCTAGATCAATTATGATAGGAAAATGTCCATATAAGGGTGGTTTTCGACGTCATTAGGCTTAGTAACCACTCATTATTGTTAATTACGTCATATTTGACCAATTAAATAATTAGTAGCGGAAATCTAGGCATATATAAGGATTTCAATAATTCGCTTGCGCGTAGGGGTCTTAAGCAGTGGGAGGAAACCGGAGGACCCGGTGAAAACCCACGAGGTTGGACAGGCTACCCTACTCCTTGCCACGTACAACCGGGGACTCGAAACCACACCAGTTGATTCAATGACAGACCTTATGATATAGCGCACACATGCTATCCATTCGGCCATCCAACCTTCCAGGCATTGAGAGATATATCATGTTGGGAGATACCGTTGAGGTTGAAGAGACACCGTCTGGATTCAGAATATCCCGTTAGGTAGTAGGTGAGCTATATGATATCAGCAAACCGTCAGTGAACTCGTTCTGCGAAATGGTGGAGTTGAGAGCGTAGAGAATGACTATTATTGTAATCTATGACCTAGTTTGTGTTGTGTTAAACCCCATTTCTCTAGCTCTCTGTATTTTTATTGCTACTTTTCCTAAAATCCAACTATTGAGAATAAAGATGAAATACAAATATCGGGCGATATTTAGATGAAAAGGTGTCATAGATTTTTAAACTTCCAAACCCAAACCTTCACGGTTACATGGTGATGAAAGTATCTTTAAACAAAATTGAGCAACGCCCAGGGTGATTGCGGGTTCTTTAAGACTAAGGTGCGTGTACGGAAGGTGTACGCCAGGTATAAGATTATGGTACCAAGAATACAGGTAAATAGAGCTGGATCGACGCCATGTTCCCATTATAGGAGGCAGACCACCATTAAATTTCACCATCTCGGTACCCACAAATTGTAGTTCGTCTATTTATAGCAATTCTCTCCCTGTCTCCTCTCTCCCCTTCTGCATGCCCATTTTTGTTGATTTTGTGGTCTAGAATGGACGAAGAGAGTTTAAATGAACATTTTCTGTCAGGTTTTGGTAAATATTCATGATTTTGAGGAGGAAGGATAACGGAGTTATCAGGTTGGCTAAGGTGATATGTACGGCAACTAGTTACATGTTTTTAGTATGCTTCTTCAAGTTTGTGTATCTCAAAATTTTGGTGGTCAACCTCATACAAATTTTAGTGCAAAGACATGACCATTTGTTCCTCTGTCTGTAGTGAAAAGCATTCAGCCCAACGAATATTTGGGGAAAAGTTGAAGGTGGGCAAAGAGGCCAGAATTAACATTGAAGTCAATGGGGAAATTAATGGTGGTCTGCCTCCATTAAGTTGATACTAGTTACCTCCCCTGTAACTTATGGATCGACACATGGCTTCTTTACAAATGGCAAGGGGCAATGTATATACGGATTAGAAATAAGAGAAGGCCGTAGCGCCGTTGTCCAGGCACAATTTCCCTTATAACACACTGCATTATATGTCCGTCTTCGTTGGCCCAGTTGGTGCAGAGGAGTTGGATGTCGAACCCCATTTCATTTGTATACAGAAAACAGTTGTTTTTGTCATCGGGATGGTTTATATCGAAATGACGGAATCTATTGACACCGAATTTATTTATGTCACAGTTGGTAATCAGTGGTGATGTGCAACATATGCCTGGTCACCCGACAATCTCGGGTTTCAATTCAATTGTTTTTCAGATAACTAGTATCATTATGTATAATAATCGTTGTGAAAATAAATCGGACAGAGTTCGATTTGACAGTTTTTTACGTATTTTTGAAACAGGTTTCAAAGTGTGTTGGTTCTATTATGCAAGGTCATTTTCGACGTTCCAAAGTAAAAGTTCGGTGCTAAGACCACCTAAAGATAAATTTTAAATGTTCCTATTATTTATTAGAACAGGGTTCGCTTTAGTTTTTATATTTTACGTTGACATTTTATTGCTTTAAATCTTCCTAGTGCTAAAACGGAAAATGTGACCTTTTGACCTCTGGGGTCACAAATGAAAGTGTGATTACTTTCAATCATTTTCAGCCTATTTTCATGATACAAGAATGACTGCGCATTCACTTTCAGTGCAAATGAACCCATTTCACCTTTGACCCCGAATATCTCGAAAACGTCCCAACGGCGGACTGATTACCACTCGGCATCGTATTCTACGCAAAATTTTACTCTAGAAAAGTTGGGTCTGGTTTTGTGCCCATTTGATGGACCCCCCCTCCGCATTGAGCCTCCGGTCTATAAGATGTAATGTACTTTATCCAAAACAAGACCCGGATTCACATTTTGATGACACGGCAATATGGTTGGCAAATATTTTTTTAACATAAACTGTTCCAACCAGACTTTTGTTTTGTGGGTATTGGTAGACCAGGGTGTATGATATAGTTGGATGAAAACAGATTTTATTGGGAGGGTGGCTGTCCTTGTGGCATTTATCCGTCGAGGATTTAATCTGTGTGTCCAGCACAATGCCACAATGCCACATATCGATACGATGCCGGGCGTTTTAAGGAATCTGAAACATTAGGGCATATTGAAATGTTTTTGTGACAATTCGCTAGCGCCGAAGGCGCGAAAGCCAAGACGGGGGTTCTGGGTAGACTCTCCCAGAAAATGTTAAATAATAGACCGCTGTGACGAGCTATTGCCAAATCTCGTATGCCAAGTTGGACCACATAGAAATCAGGCAAAATGAAATGGGGTTTAACATCCCACTTTTCTACATAAACAGGACTAATAGGGACGGTGGCTAATTGTGAACGAGTCAGGACTAATAGGGGCGGTGGCTACATGTGAACGGGTCAAGACTAATAGAGGCGGTGGCTAGTTGGGAACGGGTCAAGACTAATAGAGGCGGTGGCTAGTTGTGAACGGGTCAAGACTAATAGGGGCGGTGGCTACATGTGAACGGGTCAAGACTAATAGAGGCGGTGGCTAGTTGTGAACGGGTCAAGACTAATAGAGGCGGTGGCTAGTTGTGAACGGGTCAAGACTAATAGGGTCGGTGGCTAGTTGTGAACGGGTCAAGACTAATAGGGGCGGTGGCTAGTTGTGAACGGGTCAAGACTAATAGAGGCGGTGGCTAGTTGTGAACGGGTCAAGACTAATAGGGTCGGTGGCTAGTTGTGAACGGGTCAAGACTAATAGGGGCGGTGGCTAGTTGTGAACGGGTCAAGACTAATAGAGGCGGTGGCTAGTTGTGAACGGGTCAAGACTAATAGGGTCGGTGGCTAGTTGTGAACGGGTCAAGACTAATAGGGGCGGTGGCTAGTTGTGAACGGGTCAAGACTAATAGAGGCGGTGGCTAGTTTTGAACGAGTTATAAACAAGGCTAAAAGAGACGGTGGATAATTGTGAACTAGTCATAAACAGGGCTAACAGAGACGGTGGATAATTGTGAACGAGTCATTCAGGATAGTTGGTGGACGAGTCCTGCAGAATAGTTGGGGACGAGTCCTGATGGATAGTTGCAGGGGTTGTCCTGATGGATAGTTAAAACTGATATACAAATGTAGAACACTGGTTGTTTTTAAACAGACATTTCTTTCATTATTGCAGAGTGCAGGGATAAAAATACTTCTACTCTTCAATTTAAAACAGATTTTCATTTACTGCTGGAGTTCTCGGAAATGACGATTTTCCCCGACAGTGGCCGGAGAATTACATTGACATTAACTGTTGATGAATTTTTTGTGTTTCGGTCAGTAGCTATGGCCTTCAAACCAAAATCAATGTCTGTGTTTGAACAGTAGTTACGTTCGCCGTTTGAAGATATGGTTCCCGCTGAAACATAAACAAACATATGATAACCTCAGTAGGGATCGAACAGTGGGGTGTTAAACCCCTATTTCATTTTATTTCCTTGGTTCATCCCTGCTGTCTACACGTATACCAACAAAAGACCCGGCAGACGGGAGTTGTTCGGGACCTCTTAAAAAGATTACCCGGGATTCGTTGAGCGATGCTGCTGATCAATATTGGAATTCAAGGATTGTTCACCTGACCTCCTGACCTCTGACCTCCTGGGTTTAGATAGTGAGGTATGTCCTGGTATCGAGTCATGTGATTTGTTTTCGAAAACAACCTTATACGTGTCACGAATAAGGGTCGCTCATGTGAAATAATTGAAATAAAACCGTTAAACAACATTTTTCTATCTATTTATACAATAACAACTCCTCGTTTATTTGTCGGGGGGTTCGATGGCCGAATGGTTAGCTCGTGCCCGCTGTATCATAAAGTCTGTCATTGAGTCAACTGACAAGGAGTAGGGTCGCCTGTCCAACCTCGTGGGTTTTCTCCGGGTCCTCCGGTGTCCTCCCACAACTAAAGACCCCCTACACGCAAGCGAATTATTGAAATAAAATTAAACCATGTGTTAGTCGACTCAGGGGGACTAAAAAAGCGGGAGCCACGGTGGCTCAGTGGGTCAGACGCCGGCTCGCTAGCCTGGAGATCGCGTGTGTACATCGTCATGCACGTAAAGATCCCCTGGCAGTTGAAATTCGATATAAGAGTGGGCCATAGTGCCGCTGCCCGGGAAAAATTTGCCTCATAGAACATTGTATGGCGCATGCCCGTTCCATTAGCCCAGCAGGACGTTAAACCCCATTTCATTTTATTTCATGGATTCGCGGATTCTTATTTTAAAATCTTGAAGAAACAAACGGAATGGGTTAAAAGTCTAAATTATGATCATAATGGTTTATAAACCTAGATTCAGATTTTCGTCAGACAACAATGACTTTAAGAAACAAGAGAGAGAGAGATGGGGTTTAACGTCCACTCGACACAAACTAGGTCATTTCGGGACTAACATATGGTTTAATTTCATTTTAATAATTCGCTTGCGCGTAGGGGTCTTTAGCAGTGGGAGGAAACCGGAGGACCCGGAGAAAACCCACGAGGTTGGACAGGCGACCCTACTCCTTGTCACGTACAACCGGGGATTCGAAACCACGCCAGTCGACTCAATGACAGACTTTGTGATACAGCGCGCGCACGCTAACCATTCAGCCATCCAGCCCCCCATGATACGTACTCCGGGGATGTATTTCAAATTTATCATCGTGGCCTTGTCCAGTAGTAAGTGAATATTCCACAGCATTAGGTCCACTGGCTCTAACGGTTAGTATTGGTTGCCCATCTCTGAGGACGCAACTTACAGACGTCTCGTATTCGCTTAGCAAAAAGACCGGTGCATCTACTTCTGTATAGAATAAAAAAAAACAAAAAAAGCGTCATTTCACATTTATATTGTAATGAACCCGGGTAAAACACAGATCCTATCTCGTTTCCATTTTTATTGTTTAAAATTTCGATTTATTTTACTGTACTACACTACTATATAACATGCGTTCTGGTTGATGGGAGGGATTAGCCAATGAAACCACCTGTTACGGTGAGTTCTTGACGTGCGATGCACGGAACTGTGGGTAAACCACTAGAAACGTCAACGCAGATTGATTAATCAATATCTGGCGCCATAGGGTCAAAGGCCATTCGTACGACCTCTGCCGCGACCTTTTACTACAACCGGTCAGATCTCCATGTAGTGTAGGCTATCGAAAGTATAAAAAAACGAAACGATCTGTATTTTAATCCGATTGTACCGCTATCTGAAATGTCGATTTATGCGATCAGTGATAAATGGAATGCCTAAAAAATGAATAAATTATTTATTTTCAACAAACAAACATGTTATCAAAATGTACTTTTATCTCATTTTTGGTAGTATTGACCCATTTTTTTACAGAAATGGGGTGATTATTGATAATATCGGTTAATGTATTGGTGATCAGGGGAGGTAACTGGAATAGTCAGACATTGACCATCACCCGTGTCGTACATTTTGTGCAAGTATTCCATTCCATGAATTAACTCAATTGACGTTTTAGTTTTTGTCACAATAATGAGGCAGTACGTGGTTGTGGTTGGTGGTAAATCGTCTTGCCCCGCGCTTTGTGTCATGAATGTGACGTAATGGTACCACAAAAGCCGCGTCGTTTTTTGTTTCAAAAACGCTATAGAAATATATAAACTGTATTTTTTTTTTAAACTGACGCTGTGTTGTTAGATGTAACAGCCAAGACTACTTGCGTCAGGTTGGCCTATCCTTTCGTGGCAACTCAAGGCCAAAACTACTTGCGGCGACCCAGGTTCGGTTTTCGGACGTATGGCTATAAGACAATTCGTCCCCAAAAATTTCGTCTCCAGACAATTCATCCCTGAGGACAGTTCGTCACCGGGCAGTTCGTTCGAGGACTATTAGTCCCATAGAACTGTTCGTCCCATAGGGCTATTCGTTCGAGGACAACTCATCCTAACTGACAATTCATCCCCGGGACAACAATAGTGGTAGTTCCATTATCAAAAACTTAATTAATCTTTATTTTTTATCCTAAATCTCAATTTTGATGCTAGTTTTTCATCCAGCAATGTAGACCAGACAATATTAGTTTCAATTTCTTCAATTTTTTTAGAATTAACTGTTGATCATAATTAATCAGTAATATTTAGGCAGGAAGAGCGCGGGGGAACTACTAATTTCTTCCTGCATTTGGCCTCCATATAGGATGAATAGTCTTAGCGGATGAATATTTCTAAGGACGGATTGTCTAAGGACAAAATGTCCTCGGGGCGAATTATCAGGGGGCGAATAGTCCTGGGGGACATAGTGCCCGAACGAGTTGTTCGGAAACGAATTGTCAGGGGACAAGTTGTCTGGGAACAAGTTGTCTGAGGACGAATTGTCCCGTACCCCTGACGTATATGTTGCGTCGATGTAACGCTGCGTGACTGTAGCGTCACTATAGAGTCGCCCTAAGCTCTAACTACGGCAAGGTAACGAACAAGTCTCTAAAGGAATAAATATATAAAAGTATTAAAACTCACCAGATAACACTACCGTCACTGAAATAGATTTGAAATGAGTTAAAATGTGAAATAAAGATGTAATGTTTGGTATGTTTGTTTCTCTTCAAGCTTCGGCCATGTAACCGTTGATCATATTAGTAGCCCTTTGAGCTGATATCGGGCGTGTAACCAATGATCATATTAGTAGCCCTATGAGGAGATATCGGCCGTGTAACCAATGATCATATTAGTAGCCCTATGAGGAGATATCGGCCGTGTAACCAATGATCATATTAGTAGCCCTATTAGGAGATATCTGGCGTGTTCTAACTCGTGGAAATTCCCGGAAATTTTGCTTAGATTTGTGAAATATTTACTCCAGGTATGGATACGTTCTAGAAATTTTCAGTCATATAACTTATGACTGAATTTGTAATCCCATGCTATATGCCCCAGCAGTGTACGTTCTGACCAATAGATTTTTGTATGCATGCACACACACAAAAAAAATTTGGAGCGGGGGTGGGGGGGGCGAACTGTTGGTCATATTATTTTGAAAATCACTCCGGGACTAAAAGTAAAATGAATGGAAGTCGAATGAAAATCAATCAATGATTACTTGCAAACTGCTATAATATCAAAAGACACGATAAACATTTTAAAATCAGAACACGACGTCGTGTACTTTATAAACAGAAAACTTTCGAGTGTCATTTGTAATGAACACGGAGCCACGGTGGCTAAGTGGGTAATACGCTGGCTCGCTAGTCTGGAGGTCGCGTGTAGGTCATAGCGCCGCTGCCCGGGCAAAATTTCCCTCATAGCATAATGTATGGCGTATGCCCGTCTTCATTAGTCTAGTCGGTGCAGTAGGATGTTAAACCCCATTTCATTTCAATTCATTTTTGTAATAAACACAAAACACAATATATTTCACAAGACAATAAGGATGAAATTAAAAATGGCTGATTCACGAACGACAAACTAATAATTTATATGAAATTACAATATTTTGTTTTAAAAATTGAATATAAATTACTTTGTATACATTCATATTACCTTAATATGTGCTTTTAGACCCATTTTCGTATATTTTAAGTTTCCAAAGAATAGATGTGTACCCGCTTTGGAATTTTGTCTAACCTATAAATAATGGTGGTCCTACTAATCAGAAACAAGAAATGAAAATGAAAGAAATACTCTGCTCCAACCTGGGCTAATAAAGCCAGGCATACGTCATACAGTGTGCTATGAGGGAAATTTTGCCCGGGCAGCGGCATTACGGTGTACTCTTATATCGAATTCCAACTGCCAAGGAATCTTTTACATGTACACCAGTATGTACAGGGGACCGCGGTTTTTCGTCCCATACGAAGGACTATATGTTGTTTCTTGCAAGGCCCTCTGTCCTGTATCACTGATAAGGGGGAATCATGCCGGAAATTCCCGATGATATTTTTCGGTCAACACATATCTATAACATTCTTCCTTGTCACTGTTTGCGGTACTTTGCTCGTTTTGGACAAATATAAACGATCTTCTCAGTGATTAGTACAACCGCTAAATAGTTCTTTAGTCATGTGGCGCTATTATCGAACTCTACGTAGACTGGCCAATGATTCTTAGACGATGACAACTCGCCGTCAAAAAATAGACAGTTTAAGAATGGGAACATTACTTTAGGACTACGTGTTTATTCTCACCTGCTGCGAAACACAGAACATATACAATCAATAACTTCATCTTCGTGTCGATCTTGGATCAAAATTTATAAACACAGAAATATATCGCTGACCAATATGGCCACTTAACAATCGACAATTTTATATATTCCTAAAAAATAGAAAGGATTCACCAATAAAATGGTGCCACGTGGCACAACAGAAATTGATATGTGAGTGATACGTCACGACATTAGCGAATATTTAAACACAGACCAGCCATAAACTCATTTTCGAGACTATTAAACGATGTTTTGAAATAAATTTTATAATACTAAACGGACATAAAAGTCATTCTTGTAGAAAATATTTTTGAATATTAAATGTAATCATAAAAGAGTGATTAGTTTCTCCGGTGAATCGTGTATTCCGTGATAGTTTAAAACATAATGGGCAAATGTATTGTAACAAGTGAACTTTGAGGTCCACCCTTTGTGTTAGTCACACAGCACAACAAGCCAACAGAGTATGGAAGGGTATCGCTGCCAATATTAAATGCTCTGCTAAAATGTGTTTTCTATTGATTACGTGTAAAAAGTACAATGTACAAAGTCTGAATACCGGTAATGATAAGTCTTAATGATAAAGTCAAATTACCTCTAAGGCCAAAAACAGCCTTTTCCAATCAAACAGGTGGCATTTGACACATTACATTTGACGTTTTACATTTAGCTTTGGCCTTAGCAATATTTTGACTTCATCATTACCGGTTTTAGGACTTTGTACATTGTACTTTTTACACGTAATCAATAGAAAACACATTGTAGCAGAGCATTTAATATTGGCAGCGATACCCTTCCATAACCGAGGGGTTGATGTTCTCTCGCCTCAACACAACATTAATAGAAATGAAATGAAATGGGGTTTAACGTCCTACTGTTCTGCTCCGACTGGGTTATTGAAGACAGGTATACGCCATACAGTGTGCTATGAGGGAAATTTTGCCCGGACAGCGGCATTACTGTCTACTCTTCTATCGAATTCCAACTGGCAAGGGGTGTTGTACGTGCATGCCAATGTGTACACGGGACCCTGTTTTTTCTTCCCATCTGAACGACTAGACAGCTGTCCTTGTCAGGTCCTGCACTACTGACAAGGGGAAACCACGCCGGACAATCCAGATGAACATGCTCGGCTAACACCTGGATCGAACCCACGACCTCCAGACTAGCGAGAAAGCGTCTTACTCACATTAATATATTCCAGTGATTAATATATTCTACTCATTAATGCCTTGCTAATCCAGTAATAACATTGTTTATCACTCGACTTAATCTGAACAGAAAATGCTCATTATAGAACTTAGTCCAAGTATTGATGTAATGCATCTATACACCAGTTGCGTCTCTCTAACAAAACAGACTGAAGAACCCATTACAATAGTCTCTTCAAAAGCCGGAGGATAAAATGTAAGTTTTACCAAAATGAAGCCAGCAAGAAAATCGCCACAAAATTTTACTGTTATCGAAATTGGCTTATTTATTCTCTAAATTAAATCTTATGCTGTAAATTTTGGCTAAAAATAGCGAAACTTTATAAAATCACGGAATATTTATCAACACCATTATTATCTACATCTAACAAATAACATAATATGTTTATGCATGGATTTGAATTTGTCAATAAATTAGCAACCATGCATGAATCAAACACAACATATTACAGATAAAATTGTAATTGAGATTTTAATATGAATAAGCGTATTAATTCATATTTTTAATTAACAATTATTAACGGATGAGTAGGCTACCAATATCCAATAAATAATATATTCTCCATTAAGCCTGGTTCACACGACTGCGTTCGTTCATTACACGGATGCAGGTGACGGGCACCACAGTGACTCAGCGTAACATAAGGTACATATTGTATAGGACAATAAGTACGTCATTATAAGATTTAGATAAAGAACTGTCCGTTCTTGCTATAATAGATAATAAAAAATGAATATATTGAAAATTTCATTCAAATTACTTTATTCTGAGCGAAGTTATCAATTTTTGGAGTTTTAACAAGATGTAGTATAGATTATCGTAACCACGGCACTGGTTATTCGAGACTCATTTAAATTATTAAATGGCCTAACCGTTCTAATCTACTTAAAATGGGGCCATCCGCGATGGCATTGAAAGTTGATTGTGGTCTTGTCACTCGACACAAACTAGGTCACAATGTCATTTCAGTAATTTTCTTGCGCGTAGAAGTCTTTAGCAGTGGGAGAAAACGGGGGACTTGGAGAAAACCCAAGAGATTAAGACACGCCACCCTGTCACGTTTAAGCGGAGAATCGAAATCACGCCACTTGGCTCAATGACAGAGACATGCGTTAGCCCATTAGATCATCCAGCCCCCGACTTGAACCTTAAAATATTTAAGTTTTTGTGAATAAGACCCATGTGATTGTTGGTCGTCACAGGCTGCTAAGGGCTACACACACTTGACGCTAGTACTGTAGTGCATGTGTTACATCTAACAACACTGCGTTCCTCACAGAAACGTAAATATATATATATATATATATATATATATATATTTCCATAACATTACTATTTTCGTCGCCCTAGCGGTAACGCGGATTTCGGCAAAATTTGGAACATGTTGCGACACCCCTGCGGTACTCTTTCGTCACAAGGTATTCAGTGATTACGCGAGGTGGCAAAGGTTTTACTTATTGTAATGGTGAACTCGTGTGAGTGAGGCTTTAGACTACACGCTTCGAAATTAAATCATATAGTTTTTACCTAGTCGTGGCTTCTGATTTAATCAATATATTTCAAATGGTTCGATGATTATATTAAATTCCTTTGTATCTGGATTTTGTTTCCATTCTGCACACGTAGAACTGTCTACTTTAAGGGTAGATCTCTGCCGTGAAAGGTCGCCCTGTTGAAAAATTAGTGTACTACTTTGAGGGTAGATCTCTACCGGGAAAGGTCGCCCTGTTGAAAAATTAGTGTAATACTTTATTATGCTGTTATAATTGCTCCTGCACACAAAAACATAGACAATTTCACTAAATATATGTCGAAGCCTGTAGACGTCGGTTTGCTAACCTGAAGGTCTCGTGTTCCATCCCGGTGATGACCGAGAAAGCCCATCGTGATTTTGCGACGCGGTTCCCCCTTGGCAGTGGTGTAGTCAGAGGGTCTGGCAAGGGACAGCGTATAGTCGTTTGGATTGTGTGAAAACCCGAATACCCGTGTAAATATTGGCTTGTACTGGGAATTCGATATATAATAATATGGTGGGGGTGGGCGGGGTAAATAATCGAACGCTTCTGCACATGGAATCAGACCACTGTCCTTTACTCAGTTTGAAAAATTCAAACCATTGTTTTGCGAATCAACTAGTCTGCGATATCTGCCTAGGTGGCAGTGGACGTTAAGTCTGACAAGAAAACGTAAAATTGTAGATTAACATTAGACCTTAGACGAAATACACGCAGGCCACATATAATAATGTTGATATATTTGTGTTGGGAGTAGGGGGCGACCGTCACGATTTCAGTCTAAGGAGACAAACACTGTGATTCGATTATATATGCATTGGCCGAGAACGTTCATCGGGTCTTTCCTGTGTGGTTTCCCCTTGTCACTTGTGCAGGGTGGAGAGCTTGACAATGACATCTGTTTAGTCGTTCAGATGGGACAAAAAAAACGAGGTCCCACCTATACATTGGCGTGAACGTACAAGATCCCTTGGCAGTTAGAATTCGATATAAGAGTAGGCCATAGTGGCGCCGCCCGGGCAAAATTTCCCTTATAGCAAACTGTATGGCGTATGCCCGTCTTCATTTGCCCAGGCTCGGAAGCAGAACAGTAGTACCTTAAAGCCCATTTCAATTCATTTCATTTCGAATTTACATGTATATGATCGACGATGAATCACAAATATTTTATTATGAGGAACGGGCTCAATCCAACATCAGAGTGGATGGAGAGGGTTATAGGTCTGATCCCTTATGGATGCAGACCACCATTAATTTCCCCATTGACTTTAATATTGATTCTGGCCCCTTTGCCCACCTGCCCACTCCAACTTTTACCCAAATGTTCGTTTGACCGAATGCTTTTCACTACAAACAGAGGAACAAATGGTCAAGTCTTTGCACTAAAATTTGTATTAGGTTGGCCATCAAAACTTTGAGATACACAAACTTGAAGAAGCATACTAAAAACATGTAATTAGTTGCCGTGCATATCACCTAGGATAATCCCGTTATCCTTCCGCCTCAAAATCATAAATATTTACCAAAACCTGGCAGAAAATGTTAATTCAATCCCTCTTCGTCCATTCTAGACCAAAATATCAACAAAAATGGGCATGCAAAGGGCAGAATAAAGACAGAGAGAGAACTGCTATAAATAGACGAACTACAATTTATGGGTACCGAGATGGTGAAATGTAATGGTGGTCTGCATCCTATATGTATAATGGAGTTATTTCCCCTACATGATATATATTTGGAAGATCTGTGAACATTTGTAAGATGTAATGGTGGTCTGATTTCGTACAATAATTACATAATACTATTTATGTTGTTGTGTTATAATAAGACGGGTGAGGAAGATGATTCAGGTGGCTCAATCTTCATTTAAATGTGTTTAACATATACAGGGGCGGATCCAAGAATTTTTGCAGGATGGGGTTTGCCAGGTTCCTGTTAAGGAAATCTGTCATCATCGTCTCTAAATTACATAGGCATACATACAAATTAAGCTTTTTAAAGAGAGAAATCATTTTTATAATGATGTAGGATAACATTGTGATTTAATTTCATTGATGCAAGACATTATTTTTTTATGTAGCTGAGCAGGGTGGGGTTTGGACCACCCCCCAACCCCCCACCCCTCCCTCTGGATCCGCCCCTGATATAAAACGAACACAAACTCGGAAACCGCGTCATAAATTACTTATATAACACTAGTTTGATGAAATACTCGATTGAACGTTCCGGAATTCAACTGGGAGATACTAATTGTAGGCCGGTTGGGAGGTTCGGGAATTTCCGGGGTCCACAGCGGTCGCTTTATATAAATGAGTATTTTGGGAAATACTAACCCTAACACTTTTTAGTAAACTGAACTTGGATCCAATATACCTTTTACCCC